TAGACCGATGACAACTACAATAACTACTACCAAAGTAACAGTTACAGCTGGTATAATGGTGATACTATTGTCTGCTTTCTCTGTAAGAATTACTGTAATATAAATTATATTACTCTCTATATCACAGAATATCATGGCTTTATTCAGATTATATTGCCATGTTAAAATATCTAGAAAATGACCAAGACGATATCCTTCAGAGGGATTCATTCAGCCCGTTTAAAAGTACAAAACAGAACACTCTAAAAAAATTTACTAAAATAGAATACTTTGATAGTTAAACATGCCAAGAGTGTAATAGATATTCAATCACAAAACTAGTCCAATATCAAATATATTTTATATCTATTCATCAAATCAAAGTCTTCCTATCTGCACAAACGATGCCTTACATATAGTAGATACAACAACTAAAAGGCAAAGGACATTCCTGTCTCCAGCTTTTATAATGTTTACAGCACCCCTATGGTATATAATAAATATAACATTCATTTCGATTATAGCAAAAGGTTCACAGCATAAAAATAGTATAAACATAGAAAGGGTTGTATTTTTAAAGTTTGGCCCCTACAGATCAAATAATTAATGATCTACCTTCAGCACAGGTATCACCCATTTTACCAGCAGCACAGCCAGCGGTACATGAACCATTAGTCTGGAGACATGTCTTCTTAAAACAGTTACTACTACAGTTCTTGTTACAAACATCACCATAATATCCCTTAATACATCCAATAGTACAATAACCATTAGATATATTACATACTGGATTATTGTCTTGTGATTGACATGTTTTATTACATGGTTGTTTACATGACTGTCCATAATATCCATCGTCACATTGGGTACAATTCTTATTGTCATTCTGACTACATATAATACAGTTTTTACTACAATCATTAGTACATGTAGGTCCTGATTTACCAGAAATACAACCATGTATACAACTACCATCATTTCTATTACATGTACCATTTTTACAACCTGTACTACATTCACCATCACAATTATTACTATATCTGCCATTAATACATCCGACACTATATCTATCTCTATCACAGGTTGATTTACCAGGTAAACATCCTGTACTACCAGTGGCGTGGTGGTCAGGGGAAGGGGGCACTTGCACGTGTCAGCAAAAAACCGCACTTGACACAGTGGCGCCCCTCTCTCATTATAATTTTAGATATTTAAAATCATTTTTTCTATTCGTCTTCAAAAGGAGAACGTACGCAGATAAGCTATGATAACGTCCTTTATCCATTCCTGTACTTTCATTCTTGAAAACTTATGGCTGTATGTGCGACTCAACTAAATAGCGTATTTGGAAAGCTAAACTGGAACTACGTTTTGTAGGTTATGATTTTGTTTTTGTCGTATTATTTGTAGGAGTGTTAATTGCCTTGTTGTTATTACCGTTATGAATTTCATTGCAAACTTGCAATTTTAGTTTCTAGAAGGTTACTAGAAACAGTAGATCGTTCGTCACTTAAATATTCGCACGTATGCTATTGAATTTTCCATAAATAGATTTACAGAAATCTGCACAATTCTCTGTTTTTTAACAGAACATCTATGAGGAAAGCTAGAAGCTTTTAGTCCGAAAAATGACTCTGATTTTGGTAAGTCGTGGCGTAGAACTTTTGAGTTTTGCATGAGCATTCCAAAGATAAAGCAAAAGTTTGTATGTCTGAAGACATTCTCGATTATTTGTGGCATGGCGATCTTAACATGCTCTAAGATAACTTTCCGTCGCCGTAGCAGCTCAGTAAGGACGCCTTTCCGGAGCTACAGCTGTCAAAAGCACTTATTCAAATACTGATCTGAACGATATTCTGATTCTAATGCTCTTATTAAGAATTAATTTATCTTAGCTGCCATAAGCAGTATAAGTTCTTACATTCAGTGCATCCATTGTTCTTATCACATTTAGACAGTCTACAGTTTGTAGGACATTGTGACTGACATTTTATACCCCAATAACCATCATTACAAACTTCACAATCACCATTATTCTGGATACAACCACCATTACAATTAGTAGGACATGGTGTATCACATTTATTACCATAATAACCAGAATTACAATTGTTACAATTACCACTATTCTGGATACAACCACCTTTACAATTAGTAGGACATGGTGTATCACATTTATTACCATAATAACCAGAATTACATCCACCATTATTACAATATCCGTTATTCTGTTGACATCCTTGTTTACATCTATTACAGTCGTCATTACATTTCATACCCCAGAAACCTTTTTTACAAGCTTCACAATCACCATTATTCTGGGTACAACCACCATTACAATTAGTAGGACATGGTGTATCACATTTATTACCATAATAACCAGAAGTACAGTTGTTACAATTACCACTAGAATCACAGCCATCTTTACAGTTATTTCCACATTCTAAGGAGTAATATAAGACTTAAAGGGATTGTAAAGTGGTTTTATAAATTTGTTGTGTCGAGGACACTGATAGCATTAGTTTGCACCATTCCAATTTATACTCAGACGTCTGTGGTACTTGCAATTCCACTGAAACTTAGTTTTAAAGACGCCATTACTCCTGAAGACCTAATTCGATACCAACATATTTCGTGATTTGTGGTGTCATCAAACACTTTAGTGGAATTGCAGGAACCTGATATATCTCCTTTATCGTGAAGCTAGAAGTATAAACAATCGAATCATAATCAATTACATGTATAATGTTTTAGTGGACGAAAATGCTACACTGGACCACTAACGAAA